AGAATATAGAATACTAGAGAATATGAAATATCAAATTGTAAAGGAAATGCAAATTTAATGAAAATTAAACAGTTTAAAGTACGTTCGAGTTTAAGACCAATCAACTATTCGAAATAACCTAAACAAGACTGAAAAGTCTGAAAATTGATATTATTATATCTGAAGAGGGTTTCATTACATTTCAACCTTCAAGCAGTTGCTAGAAGAGCCTAGCTAGGGTTATGCCAACTTCAAAGTATCGAAGATAAAAATCGCTCAATCCAATTTGATATATCTATATTTATAGCCTAAATACAGTCGCTTTACCTCTTTCATCTCATACATGAATGATTATCATTTGTTCTTGATGCGTTTCGCTTTACAATTTTATGTTTTGGTAAGTGTTTTTGTTTATTTGCCACAACTCGAGACAACACGACGGAATCTGGGGCATCTCAAATTCTAGACCTACACGAACGAGCCAATTGATTAGACTAATGGAACACCAAACTGCTGCATGGGAATGTTTGTTTGTTGTGAAGCTTTGTGTGCCAGCAAGTGCGATAGTTAATTAGTTAATTACATTCACAATTTTTAAATACATTTTTACTGCTAGTTAAATGTACGAAAAGCCAAGTCAAGTCAAGTAAAGCCGAGTAACGCCCGTGACTAAGTATGTATGTAGGCAGGCTGTCAGGCGAACCGGAGTGAGGCTAACTGACTGTTGCTCGCTCGCTCGCTCGCTAGCTCGCTCGCTGGCTCGATTTGCTAATGGAGATCTTGACAAATCACAAAAATATCAATAACAAATTGCCAAATCTTTAACAAATGAATTTAATTGTTTATTTTTGTTTGTTTGTTTGTTTGTTGTTAACACGAAATGTTCAACTATGCCACGTATGTATGTGTACTAACGGTCAATCTGATAAACGATGATCGATAAACGATAAACGATAACCGATAACTGATAAACGATTAATGCTAAACGATATGCGATGTGGGCGTTCAGGTCGTGTCTTGTAGAGATCGTAACGTAAAGGCATGTACTGCTCGTAAATGTAAAGAAAACACGACAATAACAACAACAACAACAACAAGTTCGACAACACAAAATACCGATACCAGGTACAGCTGCCAACTACTTAAAAAAGACTTACAAAACTTTCCATTTTGCTCTCGTTAAAATAATACAAAAAAAAAAAAGAAAATCAATCAAAATACAAGTCTTTATCTCTCTCTCTCTCTCTCTTTCTCTCTCTCTCTGTCTCTTTATAAATATATTTACATTACTATACATACATATATACATGTATATACGTATATATATGCATGTATATATTTATATATATATATTATGTCTTGATCCTACCTAACCAAACAAGTTTTATACAATTTTTGTTTCATTGCCTCTCCAATAAAACTATCTAAATGTAATTCTATTCTCAATACTTTGTATGTACTCAACCATCGCCATGGTAACGCGTGACACGCGGCACGTCACGTGTCACGCGCCATATGCACATAGTGCACTGTGTCATTGTCAGCAACAAGAAATGTCCATTCCAATCAGATCGCTCGTCATGGTACTCATCTATCCAATTGGAATCCAATTCAACTCTTACATACATATGTACATACTAATTTAGATATGTTATCCATTCTATTAAACTATGCCTTCAGCTCTCTCTCGCTCTCACTCTGTGTGTCTGTCTCTGTCTCTCTTTCTCTCTCTCTCTCTCTCTCGCTCAGGCTCCCACTCACGCACGCGCTTTCGCTCACTCACAAAAACAAAAATATGAACATTTCCTTTATATATTGTACATACATACATACATACATGTGTAGCTGTTAATAGTCGTCGTGTGTATGTAATTGTGCAATTGTATGTGTAGATCTTTACTATACTGCTATACACACATGCACACACACACACAGGCATACACATACTTGCTTACATGCGAGAAGCCGTTACGCCTGCTGTTCTGATCGAGGTGCTAAAATCTTCTTTCTCTCTCTGTCTCTCTCTCTCTCTCTCTCTCTGTTTCGTTGCCCAACACTGGCAGGTTGTAACGACTAGCGGCCCACGTAAGCCCCAGCGCCAGACCTCAAATGCATTCTCCACCACCTCGATGGACCAGGACGACAACCAGCAAGCCGACCAGGAGCCCAATCATGACTCGGACCCAAATCCAAATCCGGATACGGCTCGTCACTTGGCCGGCGCCGGCAGCATAGCGCACCAGGAGCTGATCGGTGCGCCGCACTGCAAACGTCCAGCGGACAGTTCCTATTCGAATTTGAGCAACTGCATCATGCTGACGCCCACGGCCCAGCACAAGCTCTGCCTGGAGACGTCGTTCACCAATCTGCAGCACCAGCTGGAGCAGCGCGCGGCTCAGCCGCTGGCCGGCAGCAAGGCCTCGTCCATAGCGGGCAGCATCTTTGGGCGCAGCCAGCTCAGCTCCACCACCACTCCATATGACATATCAAGCGTCCTGGACGACAGCATCACCACGGTGACGACGATGCGCAAGAGTCCCTGCTCCATGCTCAGCGAGACGACAACGGTGCTGCTCAATGCCGAGGCTAGCGAGGCGCCACGGCTGCGCGCCGTCGCCTTCGACATGGCGCCAACGCCGCCGCCGTCGCTGGCGGAGCTGCAGCCGCTGGCGCGGCAGCACTCGGAGCGCAAGCCGCGCTCTCTGCCCCTGACGCAGGCGCTGCGGCGCGCCTCGCTGGCCGGCCAGGCCGTGGACTTGCTGCACGACGACTGGTACGGCCTGGCGCCGCTGGCCAGCCCGGAGACCCTGTCCGAGATCTCGAGCGTATCCTCGCGCAGCAGCGTTCCGATCAGCTTGGCCAACAGCGTCGAGCGCTATCTGCAGCACATGGGCGTGGGCGTGGGCATGGGTGCGGCCGGGGTGGGCAAGGTGCCGCTGGAGGACATATTCGAATCGCAGCTGCACACGCCCAAGGTGATGCGGCGCGCGCCCAAGTTCAGCGAGAATCTGTCCGGCTGTGCGGAGGACACACGCAACCTGGACCAGTACAAGCGGCTGGGCCGTGTCTTTGTCACATTTCCGAGGATCTTCCCCGAGCCGGGCGCCCACCACCACCAGCAGCTGCAGTACAAGCACAGCCTGGGCCTGGACTCCAACTCCAGCGACGACAGCTTCGAGTCGGCGCACAGCCTCCATCGGCTGCAGCTGCCGGCGGCGGTGCCATGCGCGGCCAGCTCCAAGTCGGCCGAACAGCTGGACGAGGAGGCGCGCTCCTCGCCCGCCAAGAAGCTCACGTTCAGCGACAGCAACATCCTGGCCGACGAGCACTGCCTGCGCCTCTGCCCACACTGTCCCTGTCGGCGCGATGGACGCGATTGCTGCACGCGCTCCGCGCACGATCATCAGCAGTGCGCCAAGGCGGAGGCGACAACAGCGGCGACATCGACGGCCACGTCGATGGCAACGGCAACGGTTGGCTCCACGGACACCAACAGCAGCTTCTACAGCGCCAACTCGCATTCATCGCTGGAGCAGTTTGCCACGCCCAGCCGGCAGCAGCTGCAGCAGCAGGAGGCAGCGAAGCTGAACGGCGGTCATGCGCTCAATGAGATCCTTATACGTCCAGGTGTGCTGGAATCGCACTTTCCCGTCTACGGCGGCGCCGCCGCCGCTCAGCCGGAGACGCCGGTCATTGTGGCGCCGGCGTCGCCCTCGCCCCTGAGCAATGGCGCCAGCAAGAAGGCCGATGTGGTTGGTGGACGCGTGCGCAAGCGTCTGTCCTCCGAGGAGTTCGTGTTCGCGCGCAGCGAGGATCTTCCCACTCTAGTACAAATCGGTGATAGGAACAACAGCAGCGGCGGCTCGCCCTCCACCCGGAAGCAGCGGCGTGGCTGCTGCGTGTATCCCGTTGGCAATAGCATTCGCGTTGCCGGCGCCGATGTGGATGCAGCTGCTGCGACCGCCGCCAACGCCGCCGCCTTTCCCTCGTCCATTAGCAAATACTCCCGTACTCGCGTCACCGCGGCGGCAGCGGCAGCAGCGGCGGCAGCGACTGCAAAGCAAGGAATAGAAAATAGTGAAAGTAATGTGTAATAAGAATATATATACTAGATAAATAAGTGTAGTTGAATGCAGTACCTAAGCAACCGCAACCGTAACCGTAACCGTAAACGCAACCGTAATCGCAACTGAAACCAAAAGATTATTCAATTTTATTTGCGATGTGCACCAAATGAATAGAGAGCAAAACTAATTGAAATTACAATTTCGCATACATACCAACAATATATAGCGTGTAAACACAGCGTTTAACATGAATAAATGCAATATACAAATATTTTTTGTGCTAGACGCAAAAATAAAGTTTTAATAAAATGTTTTCAATAAAAAAAACGTTGCAAAAATACAGAACAAAAAATTTGAATATTAATCGACATTTTTGCGCGTGTAATCGAAGCTGGCTTATTAATTTACTCAATAACAGTGGCATACCATTATCGAAAACGTCAATAGTTTCCGATAACTATATTCACGGGCCGATAGCGCACAATCGCTTACACGATGATTGCTCGATTGCTGCGAACTATCGTCAGCTTTTCGATATGAGCAAATGACAGCTGTTCACAAACAATACAAGCCTCTCAGCTGTAATGTTTTAAATCAGTTCTCCTTTGTAACTCATTCCATTCGGTTGTAATTTTTTTTTTCGTTGGTGTCAATAATAAAATGAAAATATAAATCATTTTGCTAAGGAATTTCAATATTAATACAACGCAAAAATGTCTCTTTTTCCGGCATATGACGACGGAAAAAATAAAAAGCCTTCAAATTCCAATGCGGAGAACTTGGAAAAATCAGGTATTGGTATTTATTTTTTTTTACAATTAATGTAAATTATTCAAATTTCTATTTTTTCTAATTAGCCGATGCTAATGTTAAGTGGCAGCACAATCAGAGCTTTGAAGTGCCAGCACAACCCGTGATTAATTGTCTCACTGAAATTCGTCCCTCGGACTCAGGCCCACGTTCGGGCGCCGGCTTAGCAGCACGCCCAGGCGCTGGCTCGGAGTCGAGCCAAGACTCGGACACAGACCTTTCGGATTCGGATTCTGACTCAACTTCAGATTCGGATTCAAGCCGTCGCGCACTTAAAAAGAACGCTCAGCCACCTTCGCTAGAATTCGATGGCGATGTGCAATACTATGTGGACAAATTTGCTAATAAGCAATACCTTCAATGGACGACATTGCCACGTTTGACACGCCCCAAATACTCAATAAATCTGCGCAGCTTGATTGATCGCACGCAGCCACAATCCAGGCGCACCCAAAAGTCAAAACGTCCGCGTCTAAGCAAATTGCTCAAAGAGCGAAAGCCCAGCTCCAAAGAGATTGAGAAGAAGACGAAGCGCATCCAAGAGCTGCAGAACTTGTTAGCCAACGAGCCGCAACAACTTGACAAATGGATCGAATTGCATACGCTGCTCGAGAGCACAGCCACCAAGACCAATCGCCAGGCCGTAGTCGAACAGCAGGTTCATAAGCTCGAAACGGCGCTCGCACATCATCCGGGGAACGAGAAGTTGATGAAGCTCTACGCGGTGACGGCCAATGCCTCATATCCGGAAAGTCAGGTGGGTGGGGGGTTCCGTTAGATAGTTAGCCAATTGGTCAACTAATGCACACTTCCATTTTCAGGTGGCCAACAAGATTGAGGAGGTGCTGCAACTCATGCCCTACGAGTACACCCTGTGGTCGGCCCTCATCATGACCACACAAGGCTCAATGGCGCGCTCCAATGTGCCGGATGTGCTGGTACTCTTTCAGCAATGCATGACACGCATGCAACGCAAGCATATGTACAAGCGCCCGCAGCCGCCGCCGCGCCAGGCGGATGAGCTGATACTGAAGCTATTCAACAATTGTCTGATGTACATGCGCCAATCCGGACATTCTGCCCAGATGTTTGCGATGCTCAAATTGGAGGTGGGCATAAATTTACGGAACGTTGACTTGAAGTGCCTAGACGCGTGCACGGCCAATGAGGCGCCACTCGTCGAGTACGAGGAGCTGGTACTACGCTCCGGCATGCCAATGCACGAGATTTGGACACGTGTCGAGCGGCTGCGTATGTCGTTCTTTTTCTTGCCTTATTCGCAGATGACTACTAACATATCGAAGGCTTTCGACTGGCAGCGCTTCGTCTACTCGTCGGATGTATCCGCCTACGTGTTCCCACTGCAGTGCAGGGAGAGCCGCATGCAGCTGCTGCTCCTGGCCATGCAGCTGACGAAGCTTCCGTTTGTGCGCACCGATTGCCTGGCGGATCGCTTGTATGCACCCATCAATTCGATTGGCGACTCGGAGGCCATCGAGATACTGCTCGTCGAAATGGGCGATCGCTTCACCTACTCGCTGCCCAAGCACAGCAGTGGCCTAGACTACAACAAGGCCGTGATACAGATGGCCAAGGAGCTGGCCACCAACCCCACCTTTCTGTCACATGCCATCGGCCACGAGATCTACGTGGATTGCATTAACGAGATGCTGCTCAAGTTCAGCGATACCTTGCAGGACAGCTCTCAGCGTTTGGTCTTTCTACTGCTTTGGTTCCGCTTCGAGCGACTGCGCCTGACGATGCTGAAGATAGGCGGCCAGGTGACGGCGGAGCACTATGTCAAGGCCAGACAGCGCATGCGCGATCTGCTCAAGCAGCCGGCAAATAAGGATAGCATCTGCCTCTACACCGAGGCGGCCATCACCGAGTATGAGACAGCTCCCAACAATGAGAATGTGGAGCGCAGCACCAAGATCTTAAATACTGTATTGAGCCTTCCGTCGGACTACCAGAACCCCCAAATGCTGCAGGCGCTTGTGGTCCGCGTTGAACTGCTGCTGGCCCAGGAGAAGAAGGCGGAGGCTCTCCATGTACTCAAGTGCCTGGCCCTGGGCAAGAGTCCGAGCAGCGGCCCCGACGAGATAACAGCTACGCCGGATGAGCTGATCCAGTGCAGCTCCGTGATGTTGGATGCCGCTTTGGCGGCAATGAGAGAGGAAACTAAAGGGGCTGTGGATACCATGCCTCTAGAGCAATATTTTATACCAAATCGTCTGGTCCTGCTGTTGCGCACACATTGCCTGATGCTCTGCCTGCTGAACGAGGTGGACAAAGCCTCCAAGCTGCTGGACCAGCTGCTGGGAGAGCCACTGTTCGCGCTGGAGCCGGATGAACTGGAGCCGAATGAGCTGGAGTCGGATGAGCTGGAGCCGGATGAACTGGAGTCGGATGAGCTGGAGCCGAATAAACTGGAGCGCACCCGCTGCCGCTTTCTGCGTGAACAGGTGCGTGAGCTGCAGCTTATGTTGGTGTACCACACCCCCAGCCAGAATAAAACGCTGGGTTACCGACTGAGAACCATGCTAGAGCCGGCGCTGATGGAGTTTCCGCGCAATATGGCCTTTCTGCATCACTGGTCCACGCTGTGGACCCTGCCATGGTACAAGCTGAGCTCGCGCCTCATCCACTGCAAGGCGGGCATCCTGTCGGTGCTGCACCTTATCATCGGGGCGCATATGCGCTTCAAGCAGTACTACAGCAATGGGGGCGAAGGGGAAGCAGATGTGCAAAACGAACAGCAGCACCAGCGGCAGCTCCAGCACAATCGCTTGATCAACATGTTCGAGACTTTTCTGCCCACCAATCCGCATCGCTCCGAGGAGGCCGCCGACCAGTATGCGTTGCTTCGTCGCAATTCCTTGTACTGGCGTCTCTATTTGCGCTCTCTGTCCACGGAGCACACTAGCTTTGAGCGCAGCAACCGTTGCCTGCTAATGGCTCTGGACGAGTGTCCATGGGACAAGTCGCTCTACATGGAAGGGATCACGTATGTGCCGCAGAAGACGAGTAACTTACAGGATGTGATGGTTGAGAAGCAGCTGCGCATGTACGCCTTGCCCGATGAGCTCAATGTGTTGCGCAACGGCAATCAAAATAGCAACTAATTTAGTGTAATTTCATAATTTATATCACACGACTGTTTTAATTCGATATGAGTCAAGCAAAGAAAAATAAACAAAATATTTAAATGGATTTTTTTTTAAATGCATTTTTATATTTCTAAAAGACAATTACTTGGCGCCAAGTAGATTCAGCGTGACCATGACGGAGTGGCGTAAAAATCCCGAAAAATACTAAATGTTTTGCAAAAAAGCTTTCATATGTGGATCGAGAAAGCTTTTTCGGCGCTGCAATAAAGTTGGCCGAATTGAAGTAAAGAAGCTTAGAGCAGATGAAATAAATTAATTTTTTAAATAATAAAGTAAAATGATTAAACCAGTTAACTGCAAAAAGAGAAAAGAATATGCTATGCTGCTGTAGATAAGGAAGAGTGAAAGGGTAAAATAATAGTATACTTTTGAGGATATTGTTTTTTAGTTATTATTATTTAAAAACAATATAATTTTCAAGCAAAATTCCAACCTTTAATAATATATTAGACTAGCAATAAATTTTTAGATTACAGCTGCTCGAGCTGAGAGATTTTGATAGTTTTGGTTGAAATGCCCTTTGGAGTATTTTACCGAACATTGCAGCACTAACTTAAAACTTACTTGGCAATTCAATGGCCACGATAAAATCTTAAGCCAAAGTGCATATAATTTTCAAATGTAAGCGCCAACAGCTGCAGCAACATTCAACCCACCCCTCGGATTTGAGTATAAGAGTGCGCGCGGCGGCGGCGAGAGCAAAATCCAAAAATATTGCGTATACGACATGCAGGAAAAGCTCTTAAAGCTTGCGCTCAAAACAAATGAAACAAACCATACAAAAACAAAAGTATTGCCGAAAGCTTCGCTCGTGTGTGTGTGTGTTAGTGTGTGTGTGAGCTCTTAGCCAAATTGTCTCAGCTGTATGTATGATATCCTGGCCCAAAAGTCTGGGCTTGGAGTAATGCGCCGCCAATGCCAATGCCAATTGGCTCGCTGTTGTCGCCTGTCGAGTCAATCGACAGTCGTCGCTAGTCGCTCGACAGCAGTCCAAGTCCAAAGACGTTGCCGTCGCAGATGCTCGCCGCGCAGTTAGTTCAATTGCTTTTTTTTTGTTTTTTTACTGTTTAGCAGCCGCGCGAAGTAACGGCGACGCATTAAAATTAAACCGCAGGTAGAGACACATCTCAGGCAGGGCACCTGATGCAGTTAATGCTCTCAATACATGTATGTCTCTAAAAATATTCAGTGCATATACATGCATGTGTGTGTTTGTGTGTGTGCATGTTGGCTGCACGTCCCGCCTAGTCTGTTGTGTAAGTGTGCGGGCAGCGGCTTCGAGCTTCGCCGTCGTCGTCGCCGTCGCTATAGCCGTCGCAAAAGCTCACCTCCGCCGCCGCAGCGCTCTCCTACTTCGTCGCGGCGTAGTTGTTGTTATAAAAAATAAAATAAAACAGAAACAATAAATGGAAAAGCAAACTGAAACACCAAATGAACCCGAAATTAGCTTCAAAACGGAAGCCTTGTCGTGTGCGTGTGTTTATGTGCGTGTTATTTGTTGTTGTTGTCGTTGTTATCCTTTAAGGCAAGGCTTAATAAAACGTTAATTTCTCTCATTCTCGCTCCATCTCTCTTGCACTCGCGCTATCACTCTCACGTTGTTTGGCGCCCACTTTGCGCTCTCTGCAAAGTGCTTTGCATTGCTTGACGTTCGTTCGGTTCGCTCGCTCGTCCGCTCGCTCTCCCTCCACACTGACTCGCTCGGTCGCTCTCCTTCATTCTCTCTCTCCATCTGCTGAAGCTCGCTCGCGGCAGCGGCCTAGCTGCTTGGGCTGCTTTGGCTGATTAGTTTAGTTTGTGATTTCAATATAATTAATTTCTGTTTCTGTAGCGGTTTGTTCGGACGTCGAACGTACGCTCGCTCGCTCGTCGCTCGTCGCTCGTTTACCCGCTAGCTCGCTCGCTCGCTTGTTCGATAGCTGCTGGCTTCGCTTCAGCTTCAGCTTCAATTGTTGTGTTTCAGTTTTCTGTTTTTTCTGCGTTCCGTTCGTCGTCGTCGCCGTCGTAGCCGTCTTCGTCGTCGCCGTCTTCGTCGTTGTCGTCGTCGTCGTTGTTGTCGCCGTCACTTTATTATTTTTCCTTATTTTTTTGTGTGTTGCTTTGGCATCGGAATTGAAATCGAAATCCGAAATCATAATTGGATTCGCAAAACGGTATCAAACTGAATGAAGTGCAACGTATTCTCGAGTAAAGATCAAACATTCATGTTTGTTTTTGTTTCTAGTGTGTGCACCTGTGTGTATGTGCTGGGCGGAGGGGAGGTGGGTGTGATAATCAGCTGCGAATTGCGCCATCTAGCGGCAGTCGAGCTGATTTTTGAGAGAGGCTGCAACAAATGTTCGTTCTGTTCCATCTTATAGCATAGAAAAATAAACAAAAACAACAAACACTTGCACACATTAAACACATATATGTTTATTTATATGTGTATTTATATATGTGGCTTGTACGTGCCCATGTGCGCCTGTGCGTGTGTGTGGCTGTTAATTTTTGTATGGCATAGACAAGCCAAAAATTAACATATTAATGAATTTCCAGTTTCTTTTTTGTTTTTGTTTTTCTATGGTTTATTTGCTTTCGTCTCGTATTTTCGAATTGCTTTTAATTTTACTAACAATCTATGCATTTGTATATTTCTCTCTCTCTCTCTTTCTCTCTCTCTCTCTATATATATATATGTATATATATA